CATTTTCTTCATCAAATGTCTCACCACACCCTTGGGCGCATGCAACACAGATGAGACTTATCGAAAATTAAACAAAGGTAAGAAGTAGATAACGAACAAGAAGTAATAACTGGAAATGATGCAATCATATACACTGGAATAATTGGATTCGAAATGCAGCAAGGTTAGACCCAAATGAGCTAAATGCTAAGCTAGCGTTTGCTTGTTTTATTTTAAAGAATTTACATAAAGTTTTTTGCAGTAACATCACTTGCCTATCTTGGTTTTGGTCCATCTGCAAAAATAGAAGGACAAACTTCTTTCTTTTGACCTTTTTTTCCCATCTGTCCGACTTAATTTAAATTTGCATCAAGAAATTTTAGGGACTCCGAACTAAGGAGAACGCGAATTTAAGACTTTTGATTAATGATGAATGAGTACTTATCTTTCTATCACAACTCTGATTGATCTTTTCTATTGTCCTTGTTATTTCATTTTCCTATATTAAGCTAGCGTTAGACCATAGATTTTCAAATATTTTACAAATATTGTTTGGGTGAAAATTTGGGCGAAATTTTACCATGTGTTTGACCATAATATTTGGGAAACATATTTCACTATTTTAGAAAAATATGATTTATACCCATAAGTTTTAAAAACTATCAAAACTAACCATAAGTTTGTATTACAATTCAATTGGATCTTCGTCGCAACAACTAACAAGTTTGTCTATGACACTGGAGCAATGTGGTAGTTTGGAGTGAGTGCAACAAACATCATTCCATACATTGTAAAGTAGACAAAGCACATGACTTTGTTATCCTGAGTCGGTTTTTCATCAAGAACCATATCATTTTATTTTTGTTTATGACAAGGGAAACCCGCAGCCGTTACCCTTTGGGTGCGCACAGGGTAAAACTCTCGCTCCTATGCAATAGCTCGCAAACCACATAGGAGAGGTAACCCGCACTAGGCAAGCCCGGCACGACGACCTCGACCCAGAAGGCAAACCCCCATCAACAACCATATCATCACACTTTCATATTCAATGAATATTTCATCACTACTTTGGTGTTCACATAAAAAATTATGTAATACAACGCAAACAACTACTATAGAGGGTGTTTTGTAAAAGATAAAAGTTTGGTAGTAAAAATTTCAATTTTAAAAGATCCCAAATAATGAGATTTGGCCTAAATACTAGTATTTGAGATATTTGCCAAATTGTATGGACAAACACTATTTGCCAAATTTTCCCACAAATATTACTTGAGAAATCTATTAATTTGTGGTGGAAAGGGGTTAGAGCTTAGATGTTATTGTGCATCCTTTTTGGACTGCTCGACCGTGTTATACATTTTAGATAGTACAACTTATTGTGTGGCAAAAAAACAAAACAGGAAAAGCTAATTCTGAAATCCTGTTGATTCTTGCTTGTGGTAGATAATATATTAATGAGTACTTATTGATGAAGTTTAGCATGTCTTTTAATCCGTGATGGAAGGGGCTGGAGATTAGATTTTATTAGGTGTCCTTTTTGGACTGCTCTACCGTGTTATACATTTAGATAGTTACAACTTATTGTGTGTAGGCCATGTGGCAATAGAACAAAACAGGAAAAGCTGATTTAGTAATTCTGAGTCCTGCTGATTCTTGCTTGTGGTAGATAATGTATTAATGAGCAATTGAATGCAGGATCCTATTTATGTGGTTTCACTTATTGATGTAGCTCTTAATTCTTATCATGTATATAAATAAAATTTGTATTGTATTTGTTGCCAAATTTTCCCCCAAATATTACTTGGGAAATCCCCCAGATACAATACAAATTTTATTTCTATACATGATAAGAATTAGGAACTACATCAATAAGTGAAACCACATAAACAAGATCCTACATTCAATAGATCAATAATACATTATCTACCACAAGCAAGAATCAGCAGGACTCAGAATTACTAAATCAATTTTTCCTGTTTTGTTCTATTGCCACACACAATAAGTTGTAACTATCTAAATGTATAACACGGTAGAGCAGGCAAAAAAGGACACATAATAAAATCTAATCTCCAACCCCCTCCATCACGGATTAAAAGACATATTAAACTTCATCAATAACTCATTAATCTATTATCTACCACAAGCAAGAATCAACAGGATTTCAGAATTAGCTTTTCTTGTTTTGTTTTTTTGCCACACAATAAGTTGTACTATCTAAATGTATAACACGGTCGAGCAGTCCAAAAAGGATGCACAATAACATCTAAGATCTAACCCCTTTCCACCACAAATCTTGGGACAAACATATATTCTTCAAGTGTCCTAATTTTGCTTCCAGTCTCATGTTTTTTTACATATATTATGTTCTAGTGGATCTCTGTGCTCTATATGTGTTTATGCTTTCAACATCCAATAGGGAAGATTGTGAGCCGCTTCTGTCACCCATAACGTCCACTAAGAACATAAGCGCAATTCAAACAATAACTAAGTCCATGTCATTAGGTGAAAATGCCTTGATTATCAAAATTTATCATACATGTCATCTTACCTTTTGGAAAATGGGAGGGATATTCTGTCTTGAATCTAGAGCAAGCAAATTGTTGTGCTTCCTCACTTGTCCCTGGCTCTTGCTTCAAGAATTGGTTGCAGGGGAAGGCCAAGACCTCAAAGTCTGAATTTCAATTAAAATATATACTACATTGTCGTATGTACAGAATCACAAACATAGTTAAGGGAGTACAAACTTGAGAGAAAAATTATGAGTATACGAATATGTCATCATGTATAGTCAGTAACTAATTGTAACAATATGAGGAACAAATTTTGAGAGAAAACAAAAGGATCACCTTCCTCCTTGTATTTGTCGTAGAGTTCAGTCAACTGGGTATAGTTTGAGTTTGTGAATGAACTGTTTCAACACACACGCACACCATCACCATATATGTCTAACGGGGTAATATATCATAACAATAATACACACACACGCGCACACACACACATTGATGTGACACTTTTCGCTTATTGAGGGTTAATTTAATTGAAAGTCAATTTAACTAATCTTTAGCTAAATTGTAATAGACCAACTCAATAATTTGGATATTAAAGGAACTGTATAGAAGTGCAATTCCTAAAAAATACATTTGGACAGAATTCACAATAAACCAAAAGTGTTTGTGATGGAGGGGTCAATAAGTAACCGATACAGATAATAAAGCTTAAAGTTTGGAAATTACTTGCATATAAAAATAATGGAAAAAGGAGAAGTGTAAACCATTTGGAAGAAGAAGCACTTTTTCATTGTAGATGGTGAGGTCTACATCCTTTCCTTTGCTATCCTGCAAATTGGAAACAAAGATATGAGAATGCTAATACACGTTGAAAAGAGAGGAAAATGATTCTGTAAAAACATAACCTTGACGGTGAATTGGTGGATTCATTTTTGTGGGACTGATGGAGAAGCACCCATTTTGATATGTGTCACAACAACCTCATCAATGGGGTTAAAAAAAAGATGACTAGTTTCCAAGAGTAGCGCAGATTCTTGGCAACTCACCCAAAGAAAACCTGAGAATTTAAGAAACATGAAGGAAGACTGGACTCCATCATCAGATAATTGTGGTGCGACCCGAAAATGGATCCGACATTTAATTAAAAGCTATCTATATAATTGTCCTATCTCATTTCAACATCAATGCCTTGGTCTTTTAATTTGACATATATATAAACATTAACTCGTATTTATTAGATAAAAAAATAAAATTGAATATATATATTAAAAAAGAATTGTAACATAAAATTTCACCCCCTCTTCTTACTAGTCAACTACTTTTAATTTGTTACTCTATTATACTTTGAAGAAAAGTAGAAATGGAGTAATTATTATTAAGTTGGATCGGAACTTGCTTTTAATTCATATCAATTTCTATGAATAAATTGAGTTTTATAGCATATGAAAAGATTAAATAAAAGCTCATCGTTTGAAATTAAAAATACTTATCTAACATATGTTGGATAGATTGAAATTTGCAAATAAAAAAAAAAGAATTGTCCACAACAATTACTTTTAACTTTTATATATAGTAGCGAAGAATAATGAATTATCGTAAATTGCTACCATTAGTTATTCTTGTTATTGTGCATATTATGGTATCAATGGAACATGGAGATAAAAAGGATTAAGTAAAGAATAAAGTTCCATGTCTAACTTCGGTAACAAAAGTTGTGAGAATATAACCATACTCAAACATGAAGGAACGTCATAAGAATAAGCTCATGAGATAAAAGCACTATAGTACGGTACTAACTAATGAAGGGTAAAATTGAAAGAACATATTAAAATTAGTCTAGAAAATTAAATAATTAAGTTAATTTGAAAAATAAAAAATGTTTCAAAAATTCAATTAATTTAAAATAAATGGAGTAACTTTAAACACAAGACAATATTATACGTATACACCTGTAAATACGTCTTAAATCAATAATTCTATACTATAGTAACTATAATATAAATTCACAAACAAGTGAAATCAAACACTTCCATCTGGCACATGAAAAATATCTTTCTAATGATATAAAATACTACAAATATCAAAAGTAACGTTTTTTTTTCTTCAAAGTACTCAATCATGCTATATCGATTTGTCTCTTTCTTCCCTACAAAATTACACACTTATGAGAGTAAACAAGTCAAAATGATATACGTGTTAGTTGGTTGTTTGAAGAAACACTTGTAAGCACATCACTTGTAGAAAGAATCACAAACATATATTAAAATCCAAAATATTTATAGCCCTGCCACGTATTACATAAGATATTTTCGAGCCACTAAAAAAAAAATGGAGTATGTATTTAATAAAGGACACGTGTCCATGGATCCTTGCTTGCTTGCTTCCATACGATTACATTGACCCGAAGAAATATCATATCCGTATGGTCTCTATCATCCAATCAAAGAGAAGCACGTAGCCAAGTATTTTGCAATGATGGGCAGGTATGTATGTATTTATCTACTCTTAGCCGTTTATTTAAGTTCCCAAAAAACTACTTTACTGACCACATTCTCGTCGGAAAAGTAAGTATGAGTGACAATCGGAGTCAAAGACGGCGGGTCGGAGAGTCGTCCGAATCGGGAATTTACAATGAGAGGATTCTTATCTTGGTGTTTGCGTCAATGAATTGGGATATTCGTACACTATGTCAAACGGCGTCGGTCAATAGGAAACTCCGTGCAGTTGCGAGAAGGATTCTATGGAGAGAGCTATGCGTGTATCGAGCTCCGCAAATGATAACGGCGTTAACTGACGGCTCTCCGAGCGGTAGAATTGGCGGCGGATGGCAGGCGATGGCAAAATTGATGTTTTTCTGCAATGGATGTCAATCGACCCGGCATTTCCAAGTGCGCGAATCGCCATCGGGTCACTTCGTGAAAACATCTCGGTTTTCGAAGACATCCGGTCGGAGTTTTTTGGTGAAGAAATGTAGAAGTGATTTGCTGTACGTGAGTGATCCGTGTGAGCATCCAACTGGGAGCGATGATTTGGGGCTTTTCAGAGGGGTGTTTTGGGGATTTATGAAATCTAGGACAAGGGCGAGTTTGATCAGAAGACGAGTGGAGCTTGAAGAAGGAGCCAAGTGTCCATTCTGTCGAGCTCGGGTTTGGAGTATGACGGCGGCTCGGCTCATACCCAAAAGTGCGGCGCGGCGGCTTGGTTCGATGGAGACTGGATTGGAGTACTTTGTATGTGTTAATGGGCACTTATATGGTGCTTGTTGGCTGGTTCCTTTATCGTCTGATGAAGGTGAAGAAAAAGATGGTGATGATGAAGATGAAGCTGAAGATAGCAGTGAAGAAGCTGACCAGAGATTTGACGGCGGCGGCTATTTTCATCGTGGGAATCAGATAGTAATAAATGGGTGTCTGAATTACGGGCTTACTTCTTGATATGACCAAAATGGAATCAAAAGGGACGGGAAGAAGGGAAGAGGGATCATTTTTGTAGTTCAGCTTGTTGTTTACTTGAGAATATGAACTGAATCAAAATTTTCTGTTTATTTGATGATTTGTTTAAGTTTCTATTCTTAAGAAAATCTTTTCTGTTACTACTAGATTTCCAGTGGAAAGATTTGTCACTTGATTCAATAGTAGCCAATCAATTGTGCATATACAATCTATTTCCAGAAAGAAGAAAGTAAACATTGTAAGACAGGAAGTTCAAAAATAAAAAGGGCATCCCACATTAATTAATAAAAGGGCACACTTCAAGAGAGGTGTAATGTAGATTAGCTTATCTTAATGCAAATATTAGTTCCACAATATAGATCAAATGGAGGAATTTTTACTTTGTTGGATAAGAAGTTGAAAAGAAGACTCACATAATACATCAGATGTCAAACAGAAAAAGGTAGCTAAAACTGAAAACAAATAAAATAAAGCATAATCACAAATTGTTTAGTTCACAAATAACTGCATTCCATGCTAACAAACAAATTTGGTTGCCCTCACGATCGATAAATAGTCAACATTTTTCTTCACTAATCTCAACCTACTTTATTGGTAACGACGTCACATTTTCGGATGCTTAATATTGGTTTATATTGATAAGATATTATAGTGTACTTTTCATTTACTTACTATTGTATAAAGTTGAGTGAAATCAAATCAAATACTTAGTGTATTTGTGGTATGTAACTTTTGAAAACTGTGACATATATATATATGGTCTCGTTCCTCCAAAAGCCGGCCGTCCCCGTTATTGTTGCCGCCCTCCCAGCTACCATCCAGCTAAGAATGTCCTCTCTTTCTAAGCAACCCAAATCTTACTTTCTTCTAACCTCTTATGATCAAAACAAAGCAAACTTACCAATCTTCTTATAGTCGCCTTCCCCTCCCTCTGGCTGTGACAATTTTTCTGGTTAGTTCCTTACTTCAATATTCTTCTGAAGCTGATCACCCTTAATTTCCCCTGTTTCCAACACTAATTATCGGTTTGATCATGCTTTCACACGGATGGTGAGGGAGGGTTCGGTAATCCCCTCCCCATAAGTATCACCAATTTTGTTGAAACTTGATAATTTAGAGATCCATTAACATTTCGGGTATAGGAAAGAGCCCTCTTTGTTCATATGCATAATGTCAATGAACTTTATGCTTATCCATTATTACCAGCTCTAATCATATACTAATTATTATCACTTAATAGCTAGTAGGAACGGAGATTGATTTGTCTTCGGAATGAGAAACTATGGTGGTATCGAGTTTATATGCATAATAATATCTGTTACCTGTCAATTCCTTCAGAAATATTCTCATAAATAAAGTTGCACCCCAAATAACAGGTGACATGGCTAGTGTTCAAGATATTTCTGTTTCAGCTGTGATCAACCTTATATCTGCACTTGTTTTCCTTTTGGCCTTTGCAATTGCACGGCTTCAGCCAATCAATGACAGAGTATACTTCCCTAAATGGTATTTGAAGGGTATACGAGCAAGTCCTAGAAGTTCTGGATCATTTGTGAATAAATTTGTCAACTTGGACTTGAGAACATACATTAGGTTCTTGAACTGGATGCCTGCAGCTCTAAAAATGCCTGAACAAGAGCTTATAGGTCATGCTGGTCTTGATTCTGCTGTCTATATACGGATTTACCTTCTTGGGTGAGTCTTTGGGTTATGATATACTGGAACTTGTTTTGCAAATTTTTGAGTTCCTCTAACTCCTGAATTATCAATGCAGCTTGAAGATCTTTGTTCCTATCACACTACTTTCTTTTGCGGTTTTAGTGCCTGTTAATTGGACTTCTGGGGAAACATTAGATCACATTGAAGATCTAACGTTCAGTAACATTGATAAACTTTCCATATCCAATATTCCTTCAGGATCAAAGAGGTGAGGGTTGACTTGTTTCCTTTTAGTATATTAACACCTCAGCTTGATGTTATTGTTAGAGAGTACTTACTTCCTTTGTTGGTAGAAAATGTTTGACAATTAGTTGAACCAAAATGCACATCAGAGATCTGATATCAATATGTGTGTAATCATAAGTTGCTATACTGAAGGGTTCAAAAATATATCAATATAATGTCTGTAAAGTTATTAATGAACATGTATTCACGACACAAAATTGGTTCCTTTATTGTTTTTCTTCAATTCTTAACGCAAAACAGAAAATGTACCAAAAATAGCACTTCATTTAGTATCCTTGGCAGGCGGAGGGACTACACTTGCCTTTATTTGCAATCTCTCCCTCCATATCCACACCTAACCATGATAACCTATTACTATAGTTTCCACACAGAAGATTATAAGAAATGTTTACCAAGGAATTGGAAGGCTTATGTTTTGTTTTTACAAAATTTTGATGTTTTTTGTTTCTCATGACTTATGCCGATATGTCATTACAGATTTTTTCCTAATAAAAAACTTAGTTTTATATTCTTTCAGGTTTTGGGCACACGTGGTGATGGCTTATGTATACACATTTTGGACCTTGTATATTCTGTACAAAGAATACAAGAAAATATCAACAATGAGACTAGATTTTCTTGCCTCTGAAAAACGTAGGCCAGATCAGTTCACGGTGAGTGTTCACATATTTTATTGACCACAAATGTTATGAGTGTTTATAAATACTACAATTTCTGATTCTTCTCATAGGTCCTTGTTAGAAATGTCCCACCCGATCCTGATGAATCAGTGAGCAAGCATGTTGAACATTTTTTTCGTGTCAATCATTCAGATCATTATCTTACACAGCAGGTTTGTATTGTATTAAAGTACTCCATATTTATGTTTGAAGTATTCAAGTATTTGACAGGATGGATACTGAGTAATTATGGGAAATTTAGGAGTAGAACCCTTTTCATTCTTATGCAGTTACTACAACAGATGAACCTTAAATTGATGCTACTTTTAGGTTGTTTACAATGCCAATAAGCTTGTTAAATTGGTGGAGAAGAAAAAGAGTAACCATAATTGGCTTACTTACTACCAAACCAAGTATGAGAGAGACCCTGAGAAGAAACAAAAAATTAAGGTATTATCCTTTGTTTATTGAGACTTAGTTTCATTTTTCATTTTCCTGTTGTTTCTGATTCTCTTATTCTGTCATGTATAGACAGGATTTTGGGGGCTTTGTGGAAAATCTGTGGATGCCATCGACTATTATACAACTGAAATTGAGAAGTTGACCAAAGAAGTAAGTCATGGTTTACTTTGGTAATATTTGGTCATTATGTTGCCTGAAACTAAGGTATGGAAGCTTGTGTGAGGTGAATGTAGACATTTTCATTAGCAGGAAAAGGTAAATATTGGATTTTCTGTTTTGATGTAGGAAGATGAAGAAAGAGAAAAGGTTAAAAGTGAGCCCAATGCAATCGTTTCTGCAGCATTTGTCTCGTTTAACTCTCGTTGGGGAGCAGCTGTATGTGCTCAAACACAACAGTCAAGAAACTCAACCATTTGGTTGACAGAATGGGCTCCTGAACCACGTGATGTCTATTGGGATAATCTTTCAATACCATATATTCAGCTCTCAGTACGGAGACTGCTAATGGCTGTTGCTTTATTCTTTCTTACTTTCTTTTTTATGATCCCGATTGGATTCGTTCAAGCATTTGCAAGCATTGATGGCATCAGAAAGGTTCTTCCATTCCTGAAGCCATTAATAGATATGTATGTGATCCTTCTATATGTGTGCTTGTAGTATATTTATATTTATATATTAAAGTTAGACCAGCAATGTTTCTTGGGAAGTAAACAAGTATTCGTATTAAGTTGTTTCACTTAGTAATGTAGGTGTGAATTGTAGCAGCTACATCTTGCATAATGCTTAGCTTTGAATATATATATTGACCTATGCTGGAATTTCTGCTGCAGGGATTTTGTAAAATCATTTGTACAAGGTTTTCTACCCGGGATTGTATTAAAGATATTTCTGATTGTTCTTCCTATGATTCTAATGATCATGTCAAAAATAGAAGGCTTTACATCACTTTCATCTTTGGACAGAAGATCAGCAGCTAAATATCATTTGTTTGTAATTGTAAATGTCTTCTTTGGAAGTATCATTACTGGTGCTGCATTTGAACAGCTTGACAGGTTTCTCCACCAGTCTCCAACAGAGTGAGTTCCGTTCCGTTCCATTCCATAAAGGAAAGAATGGCTAAGCAAAAACAATACTTGTATACAATTCTTAACATTTGCTTGCAATGCAGGATCCCAAAAACCATTGGTGTAACTCTTCCGATGAAAGCTACTTTTTTTATTACTTTCATAATGGTTGATGGCTGGGCTGGAATTGCTGCGGAGATCCTTAGATTGGTTCCTCTAATCATGTTTCACATTAAAAATACATTTCTAGTGAAGACGGAGCACGACAGGGAGGAAGCAATGGACCCTGGTTCATTAAACTTTTCTGTATCAGAACCTCGCTTACAACTCTACTTCCTGCTAGGCCTTGTCTACTCAGTGGTCACACCAATACTCCTGCCTTTCATCATTATCTTCTTTGCCTTTTCTTATATGGTTTTCCGCCATCAGGTATGTTTTCCTACTACTTTTTTAACACATAATATAAGAATAATATTAAAACTGCTTCTTTGATGCTAGATCATTAATGTGTACGATCAGAAGTATGAGAGTGGTGCATCATTTTGGCCAGATGTCAATCGTCGTATACTTATAGGTTTGGTCATATCCCACCTTCTATTAATCGGTCTACTGAGCACCAAAGATGCTTCCCAATCAACCCCATTGCTGATAGTACTTACAGTTTTGACAATCTGGTTCCATAAGTTTTGCAAGGGAAGATTTGAGTCTGTGTTTGTCAAATTCCCATTGCAGGTTAGTGTTCCTTAGATCTTACACTTTGATGTTCATAATTGTGTTAAGTTAGGATGCTGTTAGCTAGCATAAAGTTGCCGTTGGTATACTCAACTATGAATATTAAGATTTTTTGCTCAATGCACTCTGCAGGACGCGGTGGTGAAGGATACAGTAGAACGGACCACAGAACCAAACTTTAACTTGAAAGAATATCTCCAGGATGCTTATTTGCACCCTGTTCTCAAAGGGGTTGATTTTGAAGTATTGAAAGAGCTTGACGATGAGGAGAAAAATTCACTTGTTGCTACCAAGAGGA